CCACTATTGGACTCTCCGAGCAGTGCACTGGAGAAAGACCGTTGGCTTACCTGAACGGTCGTTCTCGGGGCACTGCGAGGAGAGTCCAAACCCGCCCGGGGTGTTTATTTCTCTTACACGATGTGACTGTATTGACTGTAACTGATTACAGGACTGTCTTCTTCGTTTTCAAACTGAGCATGCAGAGGCAAAGGGAGGCGTGGTCAACAGAAAAACATCACTCAGTCCAAGGGCAGATAGGCTGTGTTAATCCAGCATTGGACTCTCCTCGCAGTGCCCCTTAATTCAATACCTTCATGCCAATTTTTGTATGCTTTAAAAATACTGCTTCTAACAGGATATGTTCAATATTTATTAGTTCTTGTATTAAGACATATTTAATCTTATTCTTCTTGTAACCTTTTCTATGTCATCTTCTTTCCCATAACTCCTCATTAGCCAAGGAGACAAGTATTATTTACTGAGCAAACAGTACATTGTTAAATTTGCTGTTCAACAGTTTATGAAATATACCTACTTGAGGATATGGATTTTGCAAGTTCCAATTAACGTGGCAAAAAAAGTCATCTATCCATTTAAACAATTGTTTGTAATATAATCATAACATTATTTATCCATTCAAACATTGTTTGCAACATAATCATAATATTATTTATTGTACTGGACTCTCATCAATATGCTTCAGTTTTAAAACTCTGATTTAGTAGGCAAACAATGGACCAAAAGGCAAAATCTTTTCAACCAAGGTATCTCAAATGGGCTAAGTTACAGAATGCGTTTAAAAAATGCAGACCCACGACTCCCATTGAATTGAAATTTGGCAAATTTTATAAAACAAGTAATGACATAAACAATATAAAGCAGTATCCTCCCCCTGCCATGCCCACCTAACCACGTCACGCTCACAAGCCACGCCATAGGACCGGTAGTAAACATTTCTGAATCCCACCACTGATCTGGACAGAAAATATTTCTGAAAGGATGATCCAAGGTGTTATGGGTTGTCTAGTGACTACTTGAATTTCTTTATTTTTAACTTTGGTAAAAGTGATTTCAATAATTTCAAGAACTTAGAACCTGTGAAGAAAGAAAGTTTTCCCTTCCTAACTGTGAGATATTAGGAATACATATAATCTAAACTCTTGGATATTTGGCTATATTCATACTTTACAACCTATCTAAAAGTAAGTTTAATTTGACAAAAGTTTGTCATTTTATATTCTGTGTTCATGTCATAAATACTTGCCAGTTGCCAAGCTTACAAATTTTGATCATGTGACTATGGGGATGCTGCAATGATCATAAGTGTGAAAACTATCATAAGTCACTTTTTTCAGTGACACTGGAACTTCAAATAGACACTAAATGAATAGTTGTAAGTCAAGGACTATCTGTTGTGTGAAAGATAGATCCAAATAGTATTGGATCTATCAAATGCTTTCAAAACAATTACCTTCTGAATGTGCTGCATTTATTTTTCTATGAAAACTACCCAGGTCCAGCCTCTAGAAATGTCTGCATCCCAGATACGCATTCCAACATTATTCAAACCTCTGATTAAAACCTTAACTCTTGTATAGTATTGGTGAAAATGTTACACTATGACATATATAGTTTGTAAGAAAAATGAACAAAAAATAACAGAAGCTTATGCTTCTGTGACTTGCGTACCAAGGTAGTAGCATATCTTTAAAGACTGTCCTGTGGGGATGATGACTACATCATTTCAGGAAAAAGACTGAAATGTGTTAAATTTTTAATCAAAATTTTGTTTCACAACCTGAGTTATATTTTTACAGCCAATTATTAACTAGTCAAAATAATAAATTGGACTGCTTATAATGTATGCACTTGAATACAGGAATTATTTTCATATAAGACTATCGCTATCACTAATATTGAGAGGTGCTACTTAGAGTTACTTATGATCTCTGCATGCATTTTTGCAAATATCTAGCTGAATGGAAATATTAATTCCCTTTATGATGTGATTATCCACCCTTCTCCTGTCCCTTCTCCCATGTATTGTGGCAAAAAAGGTTTTTAGGTATTAGCATCAAAATGATTAAGGGAGTAGACAAAGCAGTGAAAAGAAAGAACAGGTGGAAAAACAGGTATTTTTTGTTGTTGTTTAAACAGAGATGTAAAAAAGGGAAATGTTCAATTACCTGGGAAATAATTAACTTATTTATCTAATAGTATTTGTATTACACTGCAACCTGTTGCACATGTACCTTATAATTACATATTTCTATATGCATGTAGAATTAAACATTTATCTTTCCAAGTCTATGTTACTTTATAAAATCTTTAACAATTACACTAATAGAAAAAGGAAATTTATTTTTCAATAAATAAATGTCAAGCATTATTTTTTCTAAATTTCCTTTTAGAAAATCAATTAACATTTAAAGGCACATTCCTGGAACAATTGCTTATTTTCCCACTGTTTTGACTTCTATTGGATTGAATTTGAAAAGCTGCAATGTACAGTTTTGGTCAACAAATCATTTTCTGCTACAGCAAATGAAATTTCTTCTAAAAAATGGTAATCCTTGTTTATCATCCACAAATAGGAAAATCAACTTGATTTTAACAAAAATCACTACATGTAACTGTGACTATGCTTATAATCTTATTTCAATTATCTTTTGCTTTATAAATCTGATAGGGTCATAAATGCAAGGATTCTTTGCAAAGTTATTTCTTCATTAATGTCATAACTGTAAATCATTGCTACACAAGGCAATCACTAAAAGAGGACCATCTGTATTTGACTTTTTTATTTCAGTTAATCTGTTTCTTTCAATCAATACACAAATTCTAATTCATTTTAACAGAGAAATCGTTCAAAAGACAAGAGTGGAAATTATACACTGATATCATCTCTACAACTTTTTGTTCCTTATAAATTATTTAATATACTGTCATTTGTTCTTTAAATTTCTTACCTCCTTTTTGAGAATCTCATTGACTCAGTCTAATCATAACTTTTTCTGTCTTCCATTTCCTTTCAATTAATTTACTCTTCCTTCATATATATAAGGGCGTAAGCTGGAAAAGGGGCAATCAGGGCTGATCAAGCCAATCTAAAACTGGCTATGTAACAATTGAACAGGTGCCTACCAATCTCAAGGCTGGGAAAATAATGACCAGAAGTCTATTAACATGAAAGAATGAGAAGAAAAGGCTTAGGCCTTAAATCCTGCCAGTGAGTGATCAGGAGGACAAGTTTTGCAATTCATTCTCTCTCTATAATTAAAGTGCCTCAATATATTTCTAGCATTCTGGTCACTCACTCTGACAGTAATTTTCATTCAGCACCCTTTTATTCTTGACTTTGTTTCCTTCTTGTTTTACCCTAGCTAACCCATTCCTACTAATTTTTCTTTCTTCGGACATATTCAACTCAAATACGCTATAACAAATAAGGCAGAAACATGCTTTTGTTTGTTGCATGATCACTGAACCCAAATGTAGATTGTTTCTTGTTTTAAACAGCATGTATTTAGGTATTTGTTGCCCATCTCACTATCCAAATGACCCTGAACCCTAGCATTAGTTTATTTTGATTAATCTACATTAAAAACTCCTTTAATTACTTCATTAGAAATGTTGGTTTGTAAGTGAAACTACCTACAGTAATTAACCATGTTTTATTGGCTACATCCCACCCTTCCTTTTCCTGTTTGTGCACCTGATAGCCTGGTCCTAATACTCATGCCAAAGGGACCACTCCTGATAGCGTCTTTAAAGGGCCTACCTCACAGGGTAGTTGTGGTGGGGAAAAATTGGAAAAGGATGCCTTATGTATGCTACTTTGAACTCCTGTATGAAAGGTGAGGAGAAAGGGAGATATGGTAGTACTCTATTTGAAAAAAAAAGTAGCAAAGTGGAAGGTTAAAATCTAAATGATGGACATGCAGTAGCAAGTTTTAATTACAAGATGACTCCAAATGAATATTAAAAAAACATTCTTGAGAGAGTTGGAAAAAGGCATTTTACGGGTAGTTTATCAGGGGAACCAATGGTCAAGAAAGGATGTCAATCACTTTTGTTGAATGTGATCAAGCAGGGGATGGAGAATAGGTTCCTGAGATTGGTTTAATTTGGATTCCCTATTGAGTTTGAAATTGAATTTGACAGCTTAAATCCCTCCTTCCTAACTCTAATTCTATATACCGTGTTTCCCCGAAGTAAGACAGGGTCTTATTTTCTTTTGACCCCCCCCCCCCAAATAAGCACTTGGCCTTATTTTCGGGGAGGCCATGTTATTTTTGAGATGCAGGAGGCGGCGAGCATGGTCACCTCATGGGTGCTGCTGTGTTGCAATATTTTGGGGGCAGGCTTATTTTAGGGTTAGGGCTTCATGCACTTAAAAGCCCGATTGAGCTTATTATCCAGGGAGGTCTTATTTTCAGGGAAATAGGGTATATGGCTTTACAGTTCTGATTTCCAACATGTGGACAGGAGCTTGATGTAAGATATATAATCTTTTATAATATTACTATAGATATGTAGTCAACTGTGAATCCTAATAAGTACATTCATAATCGGTAGAAGCAGGGCAAATAACCTTCTAATTTAGTTCCTGGCAGGGTATGGCTTCAGGGACTTCTCAATTTTCACAGTTACCACATTTTATCTCAATTAATATTCTGTATTTTGCAAACAGAACTCTACATAGGCTAGTAATAACTTAAGGAAGTTAACATTTTGTTTTAAAATGAAACATTATTCTGAATTATCCTCCAATTTCATCTGCTGCCAAAAGGATTTATAAATCACTACCCATTTATCAGTAGTTTTAATTATTTTTATGATTATTTTTATGATTATTTTAGAATCATAGAATAGAACCATAGAATATTTTTATGATTATTAAAAAACCCAATTTCCATCTGTAAAAATAAGATGTTCATGTTTTATGTAACAAACAATCTGAATTTTCTCAATTGCTTTAAGTTCTATTTATTTCCATTTTAAACAGCAACACTTACCATAGCTGTAAAAGTAAAATGCTTCTTAAACATACTGCAGGGTAAAGGATATCATCATTTTAGGCACAGAGCTATCTAGCTTCAATTCTATCTGCCAAAAAAGTAAGAAATATAAATGTTAATACATTAATAAATGCCTTAGTTAGAAATCTTCTACAAGAAGATCAGAATTAGTGGAACATAGTGCCAATTCTTTTTGATTTATTAAAATGATATAAATTTTAGTCTTCATAAATTACTGTAACTTTATTGACTTTCTTCAGAAAGCAAAAACCTTTGTAAATAAATAACCTATCTAAAAAGAAAGAAAGAAAGAAAGAATGCAATGCATTAAGGATCACTCATCTCCCCACCAACTGAAAACACGTAATTTGATCATAATCATAATGTGAGAAGGGCTGGTCTTTGTAAAAGTGCCAAGGTATGAAATTCTTTCCTTTAAGGAGGCTAACTTGTTACATAACAGATTTCTGTTTTGATGATAGAGCAGAGTTAACTTAAATTTATTTGTTTTCAGAATATAAAATTTAAAATTGTTCATCAATGCAGTTAGAGAAGTACAGATAGCCATTGACTTACAACAGTTCATTTAGTGACCATTCAAAGTTACAACAGCACTACTGTGTTTTCCCAAAAATAAGAGAGGGTCCTATTTTCTTTTGACCCCCAAAATAAGTGCTTGGCTTTATTTTCAGGGAAGTCTTATTATTTTTGAGGTGCGGAAGGCAGCAAGCTTGGTCACCTCATGGCTGCTGTTGTGTTGCAATATTTTCAGGGAGGAATTATTTTCGGGGGAGGCTTATTTTAGCGCATGTGCTCAAAAGCCTGATTGGGCTTATTATCCAGGGAGGTCTTATTTTCAGGGAAACAGAGTATAAAAAAGTGACCTTTTTACTGTTTTTTACACTTATGACCGTTGCAGCATTCCCATGGTGAAGTGATCGAAATTCAGACTCTTGGAAACTGACTCAGATTTATGATGGTTGCAATATCCTGGAGTTATGGGATCACCTTTTGTAACCTTCTGACAAGCAAAGTCAATGGAGAAGCCAGATTCAATGTCCTACTAACGTAACAACTGCAGCGATTCACTTAACAATTGTAGAAAGAAAGGTCTTAAAACGGGGCAAAACTCACTTAACAAATTTCACTTAACAACAGAAGTTTGGGGCTTAATTGTCGTAAGTTGAAGGCTACTTATAATATATATAGTTATTAATGTGGCTGATTGTGAAAGTTGAGCTTTCCAGGGTTTTTTAACTTGAAACTTTGGAAAATTACTATGCCGTATCACACATTGCTTTGGAAAGGTTTGTCTGTTTCAACAATAGTTTGCCATGTGACTCTAGGCTGGAGTATGCTGTTCAAGAAGCAGAAAGGAACTTGGAAAAATAAGTGCTGGTATTCTCTGGGTCCCAACCTGTATTCATTCTGCATTGAATAAGATCATTCCAATCAATATATAGGTATGTTGCTGGTGGTGGGGGTGGGTGGGGATTTAAGTAGATACAAGAATATAATCAAATTATTGAGCTGAGCTGGTGGGGAAAGAACCACCATTTACTAGATTTCTAGTATAAATGATACATCAGATATTTAATATCTATTTTTTCTTAAAGTTCTTGCTGAACTTCCCACCTTAATGCTAATATGGCTGTTATATTTATAAAGTCTATCAATTATTTTGTCTCTTGGAGTGCAAGATGATCAAACCGATCAGTCCTGACTGCTCTTTAGAAGGCCAGATCCTGAAGATGAAACTTAAATACTTTGGCCACCTAATGAGAAGGAAGGACTCACTGCAGAAGAGCCTAATCCTGGGAAAGATTAAAGGCAAAAGAAGAAGGGGTCGAGAGAGAATGAGGTGGCTGGATGGAGTCACTGAAGCAGTAGGCATGAGCTTAAATGGACTCCAGATTGTAGAGGACAGGAAGACCTGGAGGAACCTTGTCCATGGGGTTGTGATGGGTCGGACACGACTTTGCAACTAACAACAACAATTATTTACCCCCGTTTTAATGATTGTTACAGGATACTTGTAATGAGATATCCCGTAAAATACTGCAACATGCAATAATATATCCTATGCAATTGAATGAAGACAAAATTTGCTTCACTGTAAAGATAGAATAAATAAAAAATGAACATGAGGTCAACTACTGTAAATCCTAGTATTCACAAGTAATAATCCATTTCTGGATTCCCCTTTAACAAATATCTTAACTATAACTTAAAATGAATCTGTTAACTCCAGCCATCAGATATACCTTAAATACATATACACCATACAAGATCAAGACACATATATTCTATCTCAAGATTATTGCCAACTCTGAAACTGAACTTATTTCTTAATCAAATGTGAAAGCTTCAAATTAAAAAAAAAACAAGATCTATGTCAAATATTTGGCACATTTATATAAGTGATATGGTACAACAATCTCCACACTTTTACAACAAACCATGAAGACAAATACACTATTCACAAATGATTTATCCATTTAGCAATGCCACCCTACAAACATTTCTGGTTTTAATTAATCTTAAAATTGACCTAGCAAAGAAGAAAATGCCAACAAAAGAAAACCTCAATGTAAGTAATGCAGGATTCTGAATAATTTTCAAGGTAATTGAAACAGCCTTTTAATAAGATACAATGGAGTGAAGGTTAGTAGAAAAAAATTATAACCTCCACCTGCTTTCCAATAAACCACAGCATTTGTACAACTTGATATAAGGGGAAGGGATTTCCTTTTCTCTTAATGTTTTTTTGTTTTTTTGCTAGGCCCAAAGGTAGGATAAGTCAGAAGGAAGCAGAAGGCCATCTGTGGTTCCATAAGTCTGAATGATTTTGTATCTATTTTTTTTATTTCAAAAATATTCAAATTATCTTTCTTGATGCCTGAGCTTCTCTGAACCTTTGAGAAAGCCTGCACAAAGGAAGGTCTACATGTATGAACCTTTTTTGCAATATACACTAAACTACGATTAAGTGCAGCATGGTGTACTAAATTAATCAACTGGCTGGATCAACACATCATAATGCATAATGCATCATAAACCAAAAACACTGCCTGGGTTCCCATGACAGTCTGAATTACAAAGTAGCAAATTGCCTTTTAGCTAAACATTTTTGTGAACTCTATTAATATGTCATTTGCCAAAAGCTAGGAAATGAATATACAATTCAGGATTGAATTATAGCCTCTGTTGCTCTCCCCTATGTTGTTCATGTTTTCAAATAATGATTCATGCAGAGGTACCCCAGTACAATAGTGTGTGTGCACACTGTATTTGAACAATGTCAAGTGTAAATGTTTGTTATGTGTGTGTGTGGGTGTATCTCCTTCAAGCCTCAAGCTATTATCTTCTTCATATATCTTACTTTCATTAAAATAGGCATCTGTATTTGCTATGTACCTTTTGAAAAAATTGGTTAGATCTATAATCAGTATAAACAACTATTAATATGTAATCCAAAAGGGACATGGTGGCTCAGTGGCTAAAATGCTGAGCTTGTCGATCAGAAAAGTTGGCAGTTTGGTGGTTCAAATCCCTAGCACTGCATAATGGAGTGAGCTCCTGTTACTTGTCCCAGCTTCTGCCAACCTAGCAGCTCGAAAGCATGTAAAAAATGCAAGTAGAAAAATAGGAACCACATTTGGTGAGAAAGTAACAGCGTTCTGTGTGCCTTTGGTATTTAGTCATGCAGGCAACATGACCACGGAGTCATCTTCGTACAGCGCTGGCTCTTTGTCTTTGAAATGGAGATGAGCACCGCCCCCTAGAGTAGGAAACGACTAGCACATGTGCAAGGGGAACCTTTACCTTTTTAATATGTAATCCAGTTTTGTACACTAACAGGTTACCATAGACTCATAAAACTGTAGGATTGGAAAAGACCACTAAAATGATCTAATCCAGCCCTCCCCCACAGGAGACATACTGTACTGATCTGGGGATAACAACCCCCACAACCAGCTGTCCTTATGACCTCTGAAGAAAGAATGAGTCACAAGTATAATAAAGAAGACAGCCACTTTATCCCGGCATCACAGTGGATTGTCCCTTATTCTGATTACTTGAAGAGAGAAAAACACACACACACTCTCTCTCTCTCTCCTGCCAACGCAAACAGAAAATCTATGTTGATATGCGAGGAGGTCGCAAATGCCAGTCCCAGGTATACCGATTACCTTGATCCACAATGAATACCAGATCGGCAAGGCAGGAGCGAAGCAGCAGAAGGTTAAGAAGACAGGAATCCGATATGTTCAACCTTAATGTTTTCTTCTTATGAAAACATCCGGCGGCTCTTCCTAGTCCTACCGGGACCTACGCTCAAGCGGCGAAGGAGATTCCCGTGCCATCCCCGACCATGCTTAATGATCCGATCCGGTTTCTCGGTTCCCCTTTACGCCCGGGACCAGCACTACTTCACCAAGACTTCAGGTGCAACACGCAGCTTACACGACCTCACTCTTGCCCACCCAAACAACCAGCTCGCCCGCCCGCCCGGGGCTGCGGTAAACTCGGCAGAGTAGCCTCGTCGCTTTCCTTCTCTCACCTCAGCCTGCGGCCACCTCGCCGGAGTCCCGGGCAGCCCCTCGCTCCGGCACAGTCAAATCAGGAATCGGGAAGCTGGAAAGAAGGAACGGGACGCAAAGAATCCAGAGACACCCGCCGGGGTACTCCCGAGCGCAGCGGCAGAAGCCAAAGGTGCGCGCCACCGAGTACTAGATGCCTAGAGAGGACCGTACCATGAAAACAACAGGCTAGAATGTCAACACCGGCGACAGCTTGCTTAAAAGCTCGGAGGAAACGGAAACGCCGGTGGCGCTCCGACGCTAAAATTGTCCGGGTGCAAACTGCGCTCGCTGTCGAGTTCTGCAAGGTCGCCACGTGACGATTGGCGCTCACCTTGTAAAAAATGAAATAAAATAAAATCGGAAATATGACTTTCGTTGCCTTGGTTTCTCTTCTCTTCGGGGGACGGCAGTTGACCCTGTCCGCCTCGACTTTACGCTCTGGGCTGCGGTTCTCGGTGCGGGGCCTGAAGGGTCAGAGTGTAAAACCAGGACTCCGCAACCTGAAAAAAGCCTCTTCTCCGAGAGATGAAATCGCCCAAATGGTCGCAAATGCAGAACAGCATTCGTTCTCAGATCGAAGGTTTCTCGTCTGCCCCTTTGCAACGCGAAAAGTGGCCTCCCAGCTGACGAGGGGACGAAATTTTGAGAATCCCAAAACTTTTCTTCTGGAATTCGAGGCAGGTGAGAGTTACTTAAGGGGACCTTATTTTAGGGTAAAAGTTAAGCATGTAACCTCGAAGGTGATGATGTGATAATAAGGTGCGAGGATGAATTCACCAGATTTGTTGCAATATCTGCAACAAAGGGTTTCTTCTAGGTGTTTACTGCTTTGTAGCTTTGGCATCCGTGCCATTACGCTGCAATGTGCCACCAGTGTGCAGCAGATTATGTTTTTCAATAGAAGAAAATATATGTACCGTAGCTCGGAATAGGACTGTGGAGTCGTTGGTCCTCTCTGAACTTGTTGGCTTGCAGACATTTCATTAGCCAAATAGAAAACATTATCACTGAAGCACTGATGTTACCTAGTTGGGTAATGAACACAAACAACCAAGCTGAGAAGATCAAGAACTTCACAGATTATAATTTTTAAAATGCTAATAATGTTTTATTACTAAAAATTCATATTGTACACTTCTTAAAGAATCATATCTTCTGTGTAACTTTACAATCTTATAACAGCTTCACTTGAACATCTGTCATTGAGTTGAAGGGATCTCCGTCCAGAAATACATAGCTAGTTTAACTAATACATGTTTATCTTAACCTTATTGTGTTTTAAGTGGCTTGCAATTATTGAAAAGGCAAAGTTATTTTTTATAAGTCACTTGAAACCTGTCCTGACAGGTCTCATGAACTGACTTGCATAAAAATATTTAGTAAATAATTGTAAAATAAAGGAAGAAAATTATCTATGTTGGAAAAGCTGTTTCTATTGCTCCTTTAGTTACATAAAAAACAATAATAGCAATAGCAATAGCAGTAGACTTATATACCGCTTCATAGGCCTTTCAGGCCTCTCTAAGCGGTTTACAGAGAGTCAGCATATTGCCCCCAACAATCTGGGTCCTCATTTTACCCACCTCGGAAGGATGGAAGGCTGAGTCAACCCTGAGCCGGTGAGATTTGAACCGCTGACCTGCTGATCTAGCAGTAGCCTGCAGTGCTGCATTTAACCACTGCGCCACCTTGGCTCTTGCAACAGCAACCTTTTCAGATATTGTTGCATGCAATAAAAATTTAAATGAAAAAGTAGTTGAAATGTCATGAAACTGCTATATCTTGCTAGCTTTCATGCAAAAGAATTGAGAGCTAGCATGATTTGGCTATTTCATAGAATTTTAGTCATTGTCAGACTGTATTTTTGAAAAGAAGATAATTTTGGGGTTTCATGAACACATACCGGTATCTGGGATAACCCAGGCACAAAAGCTATTTCTCTGAAAGATTGAATTGGTAGTTACCACTTGGAGGAATAGAATGGCAAATGGCACTTTAAATAGTGTTACCTCTTTCTTGATCATGGTTGATTTTTTCAAGCTAGGTAGATACCGTCTTTGGCAGCTGAACAATATTTGTTTCTTCTCTTCTTTTAGGGTTAGGCAATGCCTAATAAATGTCCATATTTTCAACTTTCAGTTAGAATATTTTGATTGATATTTCTCTTCTAAACAAAAATAGAGCTTTTAAAATAAATTCTAAAATAGAGTATTAAACAATGGCTATTTTTAGGTCCTGGAGTGTTGACTCGAAAGCTGCTTGATACTGGAGTTCATGTCATAGCTCTGGAGAGTAATAAATCCTTTATTCCTAATTTAGAGGTAGGTATTATTTAATCACAATATAAATTCCTACAGTTTCATCTTAAAGCAAGGCTGGAAAACCCTTCTGATATTTCTGGATTGTAACATCCATTGGTCCTGAGTCAGCGTGAGTGATAGTTGAATAGACAACAACAGTTTAAGTGGAAAGTAATTGACATGAACAGAATAGCCCAGAGAAAGGTTATTTCAGATGTTTTGGTTAACCTCTAGTTGTATGTTTATATTTAGTCTCTAAAGAAAGAATTTGAAAGCCGATTGGAAGTGGTGCATTCCAACTTCGTAAAATTGGATAGTAATCCATATGCATTGTTGAAGGGTGAATTATGTTCTGAAACACTTTTTAACAACTTGAAAATCTTCGAAGTTCCTTGGACATCAGGTAAATTATCATACATGTATGTATATTGTAAATTTAAATTGTATTTTCACTTTTTCTTGGTCTTTTGAATTTGAGGTAGCTCCCATTCAGACAAAATTATTTCATTGGATCACTTCAATATAAAAATTATAATAGGCAGAGTAAAGTGGCATTTGTTTAATTACCTTCACATTAGTCTCAAATACATTTTAAAAATTCAGAAGCAGAAAGCTATTAAGACTTTACTTTAAAAAATTCATGCTAAGGAAAGATTATATAACTTCTTTTGAAGTTAACAAAATTTGAAGGCTGTCTATAAACATAAAATAAGCAGTGAAAGTGACACTATTTCTACTTGCCAATTCAGTCTTTAATAGGGCTTTTGATTAAAAGGTGGGCTTTCATGAAAAAAACCATAACTTGCAAGATGAAAGTCCTGAAGCTAATAGTTATATTGCTGAAGCTATGCTTTTTTGCTTATAATAATTTTTAATTTAATACTAGATTACTGATTCTCAGCTATTTGCTTTAATTTTCAAACATTTTGGTTCACTTTAAAAACAGATGTTCCTCTAAAAGTGGTTGGAATTGTACCTTCCAAAGATGAACGGGCCTTTTTTTGGAAATTTATATATTTTTTATATGAATGCAGCTCTATATACAGTTATGGAAGAATAGAATTGAACTTGTTTGTCAGTGAAAGAATGTACAAGGTTTGTATAAAAAAATTGCTAATACATCAATTTTCAATTTTTATTTATTTATATTCCACTTTTTAATTTTTATAAATAACTCAAGGCGGTGAACGTATATAATACTCCTTCTTCCTCCTATTTTTCCCACAACAATCCTATGAGATGTTGGGCTGAAAGAGAGTGACTGGCTCAAAGTCATCCAGCCGGATTTCATTCCTAAAGCAGGATTAGAACTCACAGAACTACTGATTTCTAGTGGTGCCTTATCTACTGGACCAAATTTTAAAACAAAACGATATTTTAAAAACAATTATAAAATATATTGATGGATTTATAATCTTTGCTTTGAATTTGGAATTTAGGATTTGTTGCAATATGTTGCCTTTACTATATCATTAAAAACGTATTGCTATACAGGTAGTTTTTGCTTTAACTTAGACAACTCTGTTGCTAATGTCACAAAGTGTCAGCTTACAACAGGAGTTGCAACAATTCCAGTTGCTGTCATTAAGCAAACTACATGTGATTTTCATGTGATCACCATTTGCACCCCCATGCCATCTTTCCCATTGACTTTGTTTATTGGAAGCTGGCAGTGAAGGACACAAATGGTGATCATGTGCAGGATTCTGTGATGTCATAATTGCAAGATAGTTGCCAAACACCCAAATCTCAATAACGTGACCATGGAGACACTGCAACTGTGAGGACTAGTCAACGGTACACATTATTCACTGTTGTCATAGCTTCAAATGATAATGGAGCAGGTGGTTAAACAAGGAATATGTAACTTTTTATGAGTTATCTTATAGATATTCTGAGATGAGAAATGATATAGAAATAAGGTACAACTATACCTAATCTAATTTACATTGGGAGTGGAAACTGTGGTTTATAGTCAACTGGTATAAATCAAATGTTGAATTTTCATATTTAAGAAATATTTAGGAGGATCTAGCAATGTTCACTGGCCAGTGTACCCATTGAATTGCAAAATCCATATATTCACTGCAGTTTCTGCCATGTGGAATGAGAAACAGGAAAATGTCTTTGTGAGATACTGAATGAAAACCATTGTATTTTCAGTGTTATTCAAATAAAAAATAGGCAATATTTTTCATAATCAACTTATTTTACTTATTTCTGGGCTGAAATAGACAAATACAGGAAAATGTATTTTGTAAATAACTGGAGGTATTTTAGAGCCAAGCTCTGATACTGAATCCAGACTATAAGAAATTAAATGACACTGTTAAGCTATGGCAGATTTCTGAAAGACAATTAATCAGTTCAAACTCCTATCAATTCAAGGATAGTCTATGCAAGTTAATGTTAAAATAATGAAGTGGAAAATAAGCTATCATTTCTAGTCCTATTCCAAATAATTCTCATTTTCTCATTATTCTAGACCTGTAACTCTTATTTCTAAGAGTTTGATTTGCAGAATACTGCCTTTAGTATCTGTAGTCACTTATTGTGCAATTACAGCTATGATATTTTGTTTTTGCCACTAATCATGCAACAAACTGGACACTCAATATTATTTGTGATTTATGACTATATTGATTATTATAATGAAATACTGTCATCCCTTATTGAAACTTTTGTAGCAAAATTATATATGCATATACACAGCTTTTATTTATTTTATTTGTTTTGTTTAATTTAATAAAAAGCAAAATATGATAAGACAAGAAAACACTGAAATAAACTTCCTATATTTCACCTGAAAGTAGGTAATTCAATTGATTGGTAGATTGATTATGTGCCATCAAACCAATGTTGATTCTTACCAACCACCTTGCTAGATTTTATCTTTCTTGGAACATCTTTTTCAGAGTGTTTACTGCTAATCTAATAGTTGCTAGAGTAGCAGTGTAGTTCTTGGCTGCTGAATTGGTAATAAATTCTAAAAGGCAGAAAGTATTCATGAGTTCAATAATGAAGATATTGAATGGTCATCTCAGGTGCTTTTTCAAAAGGCAACTAGACTTTGTTTTTTCCTTGAGGAAGGAAGTGAAACTTTTTTTCTCAAGGAAAAAGAGAAGTCCAGCTGCCTTTTGAAAAAACACCTTTGAGACAATCATGACCTGCATGACTGAGAATCTCCATAGATACAGTATATTGAATGGTTAGTTCCAAGACTGGTTGCTGTACCTATTGTTGTTAATTCTTCTTTAAATTTAATCTTAGTCCCATTTTTTTTCACTGTGTCCTTGATTTTTTCTGCTAGAGCTTGCAGATAATTTGAATTTTCAACTAATTCAGTTACATAATCAATACAGAAATAATTAGACTATTATACTCTACACAAGTTTTTGTATCTTTAGAACTGTAATTGATTTCTACAAGAAAGATGCTAGGAAAATATTACCAAAAATAAAGTTCATTTATCACCAATTGCCAAGAATACTTCAGGACTTGTATGGGCAATTGCCAAGTGTCAGTAATGACTTTATGGCACACCCATCCACACAAAAGCAACATATGGTACATCCGATAGCAGCTCTAACAAGCCGTCTTGCATACCTTGATTCACTTTTTAACATTTCTTGCCTCACTGAGGCTTTCAAGTGTTCATTCAGGATTTTCGCAATAAAATCAGAAATATAATGTAAAATTACTGCTTCTGCCTTTGCCAGATTTTTCTTGCAAAACCTCCAGATAAAAAAACTTACCAGGCACTAGGTGTACTTTGGCAAGCAGCTTGTGATATTCATCTTCTACACAAGGTGAGCATTTTGTATATGCAGTGATTAATAATAGAAACCTGCTTGTCTTACACATTCATTAGTCAAAATTTGGGACAGGTTATTGAAATGAGTGAGATGTGTGAAGATAGTATTTTTATTAGCTCAAGTGTTATATAGCAATGTGGAACTTTACAGATTAGAATATCCACCTTACTCTATGTCCTTTTTTTGTGTGCTCATGTGTGGAGATGCTACACAGTCAGGAAAGCCTCTCAACCTAGTTAGTGTTTTCAAATGCAGTGAACTATGCAGTGAGAACTTCTCATATAAGAGAAACTCACTTGTAGTACTTTAGTTATCACACCCTGCATTTGCAATACATTCTGAAACTGTTTTTGTTAATAACAAAATGTTTAACTTCTTAGTCTTACACAAAGAAATGTAAGTGGGTTCTTGGGTATTCCAATCACACTATGTTTATTTATAATGGGGGATTTCTATACCCTGAAAATTTACTGTTGAAATCTCTAGGAAGCAAGTCAATAAAAATGGACTTTAATTCCTTGTATAAATCTATTGTCAAAATCTCTTTTTAGGATGCCAGCATTCAGAATGCTGAATATATAATTGATTTTAGTGCTTCTTCATTTTTTCTTTTTCATATCCTGGCCCTAGTATTTTAAAACTATACTAACTTTCATTGTTTCCTCTCTTCTAGGTGCCTTGCTCTTCATTTTTAACTACTTCAAGAAAAAAGTCATCGGGATCAAATAGTGTGGTGAGCTTTTAATATCAGTCCTAAAATAAATGCAGTGTGAATGTCTGGGTGATTATTTTTGTGTATCAGAGCTGGCACTGATGATGTCATCTAGTTTGGATAATGACATCTCTGCAAGAAAACAATGAAGCTCAGAGAGCACCAGGGACTCCACAGGTTAATTTGATTGGGGATGTTCAAGGTGCAGTTAATTCTGCTTCTGCAGACTTATATAATTGAGAAGTTCAAAAGTAACTGTCCAATTTGATTTAAGGAGTTGTATGTTAAAAGCCAAATAATGGATTTGAATGTCTTATTTCCGTGATGGTGAACCTATGGCATGCATGCCACCGGAGGCATACGGAGCCCTTTTTGCGGACATGTGAGCCAGCACCGAGCTCAGATCCACTGCCTATACCTGCTCGCCTCCCGCCAGCCAGCTGATTTTTGGTTCACTACTGCTGGCGGGAGATGCGTGTGAATGCATGGAGAGTAGGGGGAGGTTGCATGTGCAGGGGGAGGGGATCAGAGCACACAAGCAGGGTGTGTGTGGCACGGCTCCCCCGTGCCCCATTTTTGGTGCTCACCTCTCACTAGGGTTGGTTTCCAGATGTCGGGTACATATATTGGACAAACTAATAGGAGAATAAATATACGCATCGCAGAACACAAGAAAGCAGACAGAAAAAAAGAAAAAACGTCCTCCCTTTTCTAGCACCTTAAAGCAACAGGACATAAAATTGATTTTGAAGGAACCAAATTAATCTCCAAAACTCAACACTTCAACAAGAGAATAATTATGGAAGTCATTGAAATAGAAAAACACCCCCACAACATAAATAAACATGACAATACCTCCCGCCTACCAGACATCTGGAAACCAGCCCTAGTCAACACCCACCCACCACCCAGGTTGTTACAACACAAAAGAACAATGGACACACAGCCAGCATCTCAGCCACACAGGATGATACGAAAC